TTCAATCAATATTTAGTTGATAACGAAGGAACTGTTGAAACCTGCAGTGAGCATTTAGCGGAAAAAACCCATTTTATGACTTTTACCATATTTTGATAAATTACCTACAATAGATGAATGAGGTCAGATTGATCGAGAGGCAGCGCGAAACAATGCCTAAACTCATGAAAATAGAAAGCTCAATAAATAAAGGATAAAATAACGTACAATAAACAATACATGAAAATTCAATTAACAAACGAAACTCCAAAAATGATCATCGGATATATTTTTCGATGTCAATATTTTTATGATTCTTGGGGCAAAAAAATATTCGTGCCGTAATGCTTATATCACCATGCAGTTTTGTTTTCAAGTTATGAATTTTTGAAAATCCAAAAAAATTTGACGATTACTCTTGCGAATCGGATTCTCAATCGAGTTCAGCAACTTTTTTTCTTTAAGGGGATCCTAAACTTTCATTTCGCATTTTTTCTCCGACAACAGCTTCAATTGGAATCCTGCAAAGTTATTAGACTGGTTAAGTTAACCGGAACTTGCTAAAAGTCGTCCCCTGACTAGTCGCGGCGGCCACATTGGAATCGTGACATCAGAAGCGAGGAATGACATGTTAATTTATGTTGCATGCCATTTTTAAATAAAGACAATTTGGATGAAACGAAATGACGAGATCGCTTTAAAACACTTATAAAAATCAATAAAAACTGTCCTTTCCTCCCTTGACAGTCAGTAAATGGACGTAAAATGAGTCAATATTCGGGCAGAAACACACGATCTGACAGCAATCGAAACGTGTGTATTGAAACGAGCAAAATATACGCTTTTACATATAAAAAAAAATTTTTTTCCGGTAAAATTCTACTTTTACTGAACTATTTTTGCTACTCGAATTTATGAAAGCTCTATAAAGCTAGCAGGACCAAATCAGCAGAATCAAATCGGACCTATCGAAATTTTTAGTACTCATTTTGTACTAAATTGTACCATTAATAATAATTTTGTACCGTGTGCCATTTCGAAAAAAATCGTGGCGCTGCTGGTTTAATATTAAGCTAGCAGGACCAATTCAAAATAAAAGATAAAAAGAAAAATAATATCAGAAATCAATACGATTGAATTTATAGTATTTTGTACTGCCAAAAACAATTATATATTATGTCATTTTCAAGAAAACAATGACGTTGATAATATTTAAGCTGGCAGGACCATAAAAAAACAAAATGAGGGAAAAAATTAACACAACTGAATTTGTACTAATTTGTACCATTGAAAGTAAGTTAATATTTTACATGTTTTCTCCTTAAAATAACTTTATTAGTATATACTTACAATCTATTCTACTTCAAATCGTGCACCTATGAAGCATCACTTTATTTTTTTTTTTAATTTGCTAACATATTCTACAGATAATAATAAGATACGTGTTTCGTGAAAAAAATGTGAGATTTTTTGCAAAGTTATTAATAGACTGCGGAACTTTATGCAAAATACTTAACTGAATATTTTGCATAAAATGCAAATTTTGCAAATTTACAGATGGCAATCTCAATCTTTTACTTCATCTTTTAATAACTCTTTAACGAACAACGATTGACAGCGAAAACTGTCTGATAGTTAAGTATTTTACATAAAGTTCCGCAGTCTAGTTATTAACGCTTGTTAGTTGCGTAAATTTATTATATGTATAAAAAACGTCGCTCATGAAACATTCAAATTATTATATCATCGAAATAATTAGTCGTATAAAAAAAGTATAACATTTTTCGAGATTAAAAGTCCGATTTTAAAGATCGTAAATTGATCTATGGTTGGATTTTATTTTTAATTTATTATTTATATAAATAAATTATTTTCCATTTGTTTACAATTTTTATGAACATTTTTCATCATCTCATCAATCAAAAAATTTTGTAAAAATATCATATTCCCATTTTAATTATGAAGTAACCCTGAAAATTTCAAAATAGAACTCGCATTTTTTAACTATACAGTCCATTCGAGTTCTATTTTGAAATTTTCAGAGTTACTTTATAATCGGACTTTTAATCTCGGAAAATTATATCTTTTTTGTACGACTAATTATTTCGATGATGTAATAATTGAAACGTTTAATGAGCGACGTTTTTTATAAATTTGCGCAACTTACAAGCGTTAAAAACTTTACAACAAAATCTCACATTTTTCATTTTTACGAAACATGTGTTTTATTATTATCTGTAGAATATGTTATGTGTAGAATATGTTAGCAAATTAAAAAAATAAAATGATGTTTCAAAGATGCACGGTTTGAAGTAGAATAGATTGTAAGTATATATTAATTAAGTCATTTTAAGGAGAAAACATGTAAAATATTAATTTACTTTCAATGGAATAAATTAATATAAATTCAGTTGTGTTTTAATTTTTTCCCTCATTTTGTTTTTTTTTTAATAGTTCTGCCAGCTTAAATATTATCAACGTTATTGTTTTCTTGAAAATGACACAACATAGAATTGTTTTTGGCAGTACAAAATAGTACAAATTCAATCGTATTGATTTCTGATATTATTGTTCTTTTTATCTTTTATTTTGAATTGGTCCTGCTAGCTTAATATTAAACCTGCAGCGCCACGATTTTTTTCGAAATGGCACACGGTACAAAATTATTATTAATGGTACAATTTAGTACAAAATGAGTACTAAAAATTTCGATAGGTCCGATTTGATTCTGCTGATTTGGTCCTGCT